TGGTCTTCTCCTGCCCCTCTTTTTCCTGCTCTCCTGAAGTAGGCCTAGAAGCCAGAAAAATCTCTTCCTCAAGATGGGGCACAGAAACTAGAACCTCTCTGTCCAAAACCAGCCCATAAAACCTAGAAATACTACCCCAATTTTGTGCTGTCTTTCTATGTGGGCGCTGGCCATAAAGTAATTCTCTGATCTTCCAGAAGGGTCTGCTCTGTACGGGGATGTGGAGAGGGGCACAGACAGGCCAGGAAGACCAAACAGACAAGCCCTGCTGGGTTTCCCTCCAGTCTATCACTGTTGGGTCACCCCCTTTCGCCCAACCCCATTTATATGGCTGCCCATTCTTCACCACACCTAAGCATGAAAATAGACAGTGTTCCCAGGACCTTCAAATCTTCATTGTAAACCCTCCCACATCCTGCAAAGCTTTGATTAAATAAATCTTTCATGCTTTTCTCTTGTTAGTCTGTCTTTTGTTGTGAGAGTATTGGCTATGACCTCTATGGTGGGTGTGGAAACGTATTAGCCTTTCCTAACCCTACAGCTGATCCTTCATATAACCTAAGAACTATAGGATCAGTTCATTAGTCCTGACTCATGAGATTACAGTCTCAGAGTGAAACCTTAAACTCTTGAATTTAGTATCATGTTAAGCACAATAGCAGAACTCATCAAGATTATTCAGAAGAGACAAATAGAATAACGTATTTATTTCTTTTTAAGAAATATCAATAAAGAACAAAGAAAGACCTCTTTTCTATCATAGAATATTTCTCTGTTACCATTTAGAGCTTATAAACTGTGTTGTTTCTGTTCTTTTCTGGTTTCCTAATTCTTCTTATGCACGTTATTTATATTTCAAGTGTATGTGTTTAATATGCACATGAAAAAAGAGGCCACCATTCATTCTGTCAGCTTATAGCTTGAGAAATGTTTTATAATAACAAATCTTTTGAGTTTTGTAAACCAGCTGAGATTAGTCTAAGAGCTCTTGGTCCCACCCGACTTCAGCTTGTGCTGGTTTCCCAAGTTACCTGCATGTCTATTTCCTTTACAAATTAGAATAATTCCCTCCCTAGTGATTACTGGGGCTGATTAGTTTTGCTCTGCATTTTCCTGGAGGCGCCTGTCTTTTCTTTGGTTCACCTTGTGGCCCCTTCCTTATTTGTAGATCACTGAGGAGAGCAAGTTTCTTTCGACTGTTCTTAACATTTTGTAATTAACCAGTAAGCCAGCAAGAATCCCAAATATCCCTTTCCCATTGTTGGGCCAGTAGTTTTGTTTTTGAGCCTGCACTGGAGCAGGAACGGGCTGGGGTGTGAGGGCTCATCAAGGAGTGGAGGAAGTGACTTCATTTTGAAGTCAAATTTGCACAACACCTTCAGAAGGTCTCCATCTGTCGGGCTCAGAGCTGAGCGAGATCTTCTTTCCAGTTGTCCTGGTTCATGCCTTTGAACTGCACAATCCTTCAGTCCACAGCTTCCTTCTCAAACACAGGCCATGACAGGAGAGGACCAAGGAGTCCATCTGCAGGAGTGACAATCGTGCCCCGGAGAGGCAGGGTGCAGGAAGCCAGAGGCTTTGGAGTCAAACAGACCCAGGTTCAAGAGCAGAAGCTGGATAACATATACTTTTATTTTTAACATCAGGTTAGGAGGCATAATTTACATATAATCATGTCACCCTCAGGCGTGGTGTTTGGAGTTGCATCTTCTGTAATCCGTGAGAGAAATTGTGCTGTGTCTGGAGTCAGGAAATGAGGCTCTTACCCTGCTCCCATTGTCACAATAGTTCTTAACCCTGTCATCTATAAAATTGAGAGTGGAACCAGGTACTTTCTGTGTTATGCATCTACAGTTTTATGTTTTAAATGGCTCTGAAACAAACAAAACAAAACACTTGCCTTCCTGATTTTTAAGAGTTCCTTGACGGAAGTTGCTTGTTGAAGGCATTAAGCTTCTGCAGCTCAATCTTTTTTTTTTTTTTTTCTTTTACAGTTGCTCCTAGAAGAATTTCTAAGTGTGCTAGAATAAACAGTTCCTCCCTCTGCTCCCACACTACCCAGGCCTCCTGCTCCCAGCCTTGAGCAGCCTGGTCCTCCAGCCTGTGAAGCCAGTGGGAACAGGAAATCGAGTTTCTCAGGAAGTTCAAGGCTGCCCTGGCTGCGGGCCAGATCACAGAGGAGTAAAAGAACTGAAGGCAGGCAGAGAGGGTTCCCTCCCTCTAGTTACAGAAACTGTCTCCTTACCCTCCTCTCTTAAACCTGCTTAAGCTTAAATGCAAAACAGCTCAGCAGAGAGGAGAGTGCCCGACATCTGACATCCCCTGGTTATGAATGTGGGGCCCTGGTTCACTGTTTTGGGGGGAAAGTATTTCGATTTGGTAGGACCTTCTGTCCAGTCTAGCCTTGTCTCCTCTGTTCTCCCCCAAACCAAACAAATGCTGGGAATCAGGGAGGCGTGCGCATTCTTGGGAGCAGGTTTGCAGCTGGAAGCGGGAATGTAACATTTGCCCACATAATGTGTCAAGTATCAAGTTTTTGGAGCACGTCGTCCAGATTGAAAATGTTCTGGGTGGGTGCCTAAGATGGAGGGGGAGGGCTGTGACAGCCACTCTGGCCGTTTTCATTCAGGTGGACACAAAAGCCTAATCCCTGTACGCACAGGGCATGATGACCCCATTGTGTGACTCCTGGCCATCCATGGCAGCCTCATTTTTCTTTCAAGGCCTGTTCAGAGTCGATTTCCATGAGTCTGAGAAAACTGCATCACAGGTCTACATTGAGTTCAACTTGCGGTAGCCACTCAGAGTCTGGGCTGCACGGTTGCCATGATGCCTGATAGCACTTCCCCACATTTCATGATTTCCAAATTACATGTGTCAACTTCTAACACAATATATCAGTTTTGTTTTTATTGTACTTACCATCCATTTCCTCTCATCAGAATATACGAGCCTGAGAGCCAAGAGTGGTGTCTACTTTCTTTATTGCTATGTCCCTAGGGTGCAGACAGTGCCTGAGACCTAGTAAGGGCTTCATCAATATTTGCAGAACTATTTACTAAACAAATGTATAAGTGACCTCTAATACAATCCTCTCTAAGAGATTTTAAAGAAAAGTTTTGGACTAAGTCCTTAAATAAATCAATGTGAATATTACTAAGTCTATGGTACACAACCCACAAATATAGAATAAAGAAATAGAATAAAGATGTTGACTAATCTATGCATGGAAGTAATAACTCGGCACCAAATAAACAAATAAATAAATAAATAAACTGCATAGAATACTACTCAAGAATAAAAAGAAATAAGATATTGGCACCCAGAACAACATAGTGACTCTGAAAATTATTGTATGAGTGAAAAGAGACTAGATTAAGAAGAAGACCTACTGGATGACTTCACTGATATCAAGTTGAGTCTACAAAATATAATCTGTAAGAACAACCTAGTTCAGTGGGTTTTGGGTGATCAAAGGGTGATCACTAAAAGGCCAAAGGAAGCATCTAGTAGTGATGAACGTATGCACCATCTTGATCGTGGGGACAGTTTCCTAGTTGTGTTTCTACACCAAATCCCAACATATTGCACATTTTAAATACATGTCAATGATGCCTCAAACTGAACAAAGTGAAGAGAATACATTTTAATGATCTAATCAGGAACTAACCTCTGGGTGCTCAACAGGCAGTCAAAGTGATCATTTTGAGTCTCATTTTCCTTTTTTCTGCCTCATCACGAGCTCAATAAGTTAATCAAGTAGCGGCCCAGTGAACCTCCATTAGAAGTACATCAGCGAGCGTCATGATGCACTTTAGATGTTTATTTCAGAAGCAAAAGTACCAGTAACTATGATTCATATAGTTTTGCCTATAACTACTTCTTCATCTGCCTTACATTATCATCCATTCAACAAGTATTTACTGTACTGCATTGTTTTTAGTGAATCTTTTTCCAATTTCTTCTGACCTCTTGAATTCTGATCCTGTCTTCCAAATGCTAAGTACCCACCTCCCACCCTTCCAACTCTTACCCTTCTCTTTCTGTTTGCAAATCTTAACATCTAATAAGGACGTTCATTTTTCATCCAACATCCAAGCCACTGGTAAAATGCTGAAGTTTACCTGGTCCACAAAAGAAGAAAAAAAATTGGCAAAGCCACTTACTAAGAAAGGCACCAGTGTCATCGAAACCCTGAGGGTTGGCTCCAAAGAGGCAGGGATCTCAGTCTAAAAAGAATGTGTCAGTTACCACTGGTTTTCCTCTTGTTTTCCACCCACCCAACCAATTTGCTTCAGCTCAGAGCCAGGGATACGTCAGAAACAGGAATAACTGCTTCAAGTGCGAGGAAACTGGAGATGTTGATCTTTGCTTGACATAAGCCCAGGTCACTTTTCCGGTTGGCATTCTTCTGCTAAGCTTCACTTTCTTTCCATGTGGGGTAGTCCATTGTGTCTGGGCCATTCCCAGGTGCATTGTGGCTTGGTAGTTCACGTTCACACCCTGGTTGGTTCATGAGCTGGTGTGCTTACTGTTTTAGAAATGCTTGGACCACGTTTCATGCCCCACCTCCACCTGTCTCTTTTACAAATTTTCTCTCCAGTAAGCCTACTGAAGGTCTGACTGGTGAGGAGACAAAGTAAGCCCCACTCAGGAGAGTCTCAGGAACTAGGTTCGAGTCCCTACCTTCTAGTCTTCTAGATATTGGGACTGCTGATGACTCTCAGAGGCTTGATTTCTTAATCTGTAAAATGGTGCTGATGATACAAACCTACATGTGTTAAAACAGGGTTTTACTCACCCTTATTTTCTTATGACTTGTGCCCAACCCTGAGTAAGGTCTGAGCAGTGGGTTCCTTTGAGTTTCACTGGTAGCGTGAAGTCAGCGATTTATCTTTTATTTTATTTATTTAATGTAATTTTTTTTTCTTTGGTGCTGGGGCTGAGCCCTGGGACCCAGGGCCTTATACATGTCAGGAAGTCTTCTACCACTGAGCTACATTGTCGGCTATTTTTATTTTTGGTTGGGGTTTAATTCCTTCCTTATTTACATCTAGATATGTTACTGGATTTTGTGTGGAGAGACATGGACATGTCTAATGCTCTACCACTGATAGAAACTGTGACTGCTGTTGATCTAATCTGGTGGTCTCCTTGGGAACACCCAGGTTCAGAGATTGAGGTCATGGATTTTCTTCAGCTTTCTGAGAGGGAATTAAAACTATATTAAAGTGATAGTAAGTCTTGCACTGGAGTCAAGTTTTACATCCTTCTAACTGCTTACTAATAATCTAACTAGTACTTTGTGGCTATGAAGGCTGCAGCCCAGATTGAACTGGCTTTGCAGATAAAATAGTTGCCTGTCTGTATGTCTGTCTGTGTGTCTGCCTGTCTCTCTCTCTCAGAATAGTCTACAATCATCCTCTGCAAAAGATGGCAAATGAGACTCATAATCTGCTGCACTACGATCTACTGTTCATTTTTTAAAAGAAGATTCTGGAAGGAGCCAAAGCCAGAGGGTGGAACCAGCTCTGTTTTTTGCCAACCCGGTCTCTTTCCTCAGTGTGTCCAGTCAAGGGGTCAAGGGGTTACCAGATCCACAGCACCTGTGAGATGATGACAATGACAGTCAGGTTTTCTTACACACACACAGGAACACACACCTGTGCACACACACGTGGTGGGGGCTCTACACCATTTTAAAACTGTAACTAAACCCTCATAACGAGCATTCTCATACAGCTTCACAAAGAGTCAAGAGTAGGAAGTCTATCGGACCCCTTTATGGCTGCAGACCACTGCCAGCGGGCACAGTAGCAGCTTGCAGAGATTGGAAGGCATGGAAAACTCAGTTGCCCGTTGAACTCCAGGGGAAATAAGCACTTCCTGGGCCAGTCAGGAGGAGGAGATGGGCTCCCTTTCATTTATAAACACCGACTAGTGCTGTTTACCACGGGACTGGAAATGGCTTGGAACACCCTCCCATTTACCCCTGGAGGAAAAGAGAACAATTTGGATGAAATGTAGACCACATGAGGGGCCCAGTGATTCCCCTTTTAGGTATTTTCCCAAAAGAGTTGAAGGCCTCACATTACAGTGATGTACAATCCATTGCCATATTTATAGCAGCACAATTCATAGCAGCTAAATCTTAGAAGCAGCCTACACGCCCATCAACAGATGAATGGCTAAAGAAAATGTGATATTTACACAGAGTGGAGTACTACTCTGCCATAAAGAAGGATAAACTCAAGTCATTTGTATGAAAATGGGTACAACATGAGACCATCATGTTAAGTGAAAAGGACACATAAGTTTAAATATTGCACAGTTTCTCTTATACGAGAAACCCAGAATAAAAATAAAGAGCAACATAAATATAAAAATTCGGATGTAGGAAGATAGATCTTTTGCAAATGGGAAGGGGACCAAGTGATGGAAGAAGGAGAAGAAAGAGTTGGGGAGGGGATGAGAAAAGAACTGAGATGTGCTATGTACATGTGCCAGCTCCCCGCAGGGAATGCAATCATTATGTACTGCGAACACGGAGCAATAAAAAATGAAAAAGGAAAAACTAAAATAAAAAGAAGGCATAAAAGCAAGCAAGAAAAGGAAAGACAGATCCAACTCACTAGTGGGGACAGATGAGTTCCTTAAGACATTGTTCCTCGCTGAGGAGCTCCAGTGTGAAGCAGGGCAGCTGCTGGCTGGGTGAACAGCTGGCTTGTCTGTCCCGGAACTGGCTGTGTTGTATTTGCTTTTGTCTACTTGTCCAGCTCAGTGACTCACACAGGCCCCAGGGCATCACGAGCCACTTCCTATCATGCAGGGCGTTCACTCTTTCCCTTCGCCCACCAGAGAGATGCCCGCATGGATGCCCCTTTCCTCTGCTCCTCTGCAATTGCATGCCTCCCGATGGTTGGGACATGGTGCCCTAGGCAAGAACACCCTGCCTGAAGGTGCCCACAGGGCAACTAGGAAGAGGGAGGAAGAGTCTTCCAGTGTTCCGGGGCTTGTTGAGCCTCTGTCTATACAACAAAGCTTCTGGCTAAAAAGGGAAAGCTATATTCAATCAATGACCAGTGGTTGTGTTTACCTGACACTAAACCCTTCATTTTTCTCGTCCTTTTGTTTGTTTTGGTTTGGTTTTTCTGTACTGAATAACAAACCCAGGGTTTTTGTGCTGAGCTGTACCCCAGTCTTTATTATTATTTTAAAATTTTGAGATAAGGTCTCACTCATCTGCCCAGGATGGGCTCAAACTCACAATCCTCCTGTCTCAGCCTCCTGGAGTGCTGGGATTACAGGCCTGTGCCACAGGCTGGCTTCAAATTCCTCTTATCTTTGACCACAGCCAAGGTGGTAGGGCAGAGGTGACCTAAGGGCCAAGCAAATGAGAGAATGTGATGCCACTGTGGGCCCGCCCTCCAGCCTGGACCGCAGTGTCCTCCCTGCGCTCAGTGTCTGCTGCTGCATCTCCGAGCTCTAGCTCCAGCCCAGCGTCTCTCTCCTACCCTGCTAGAAGAAGGCTAGCAGTGGACAGCCATCCTATGTGGACCACGCCACTGCTGCAGCATCTGGGCACCCCAACTGGTGCGGCCTGTGGGCAAGTCCTCAGTGGCCAGCTCCTCTGCACAGACTCGAGGACCCCCCGTCCCTCGGTGCAGTCTCCTCTCCTTGCTGTGACACAGCACACAAGCTCTCACGCTCTGGGGCCTGTGTACTTGTGGTGCCACTCAGCCCACGACACCGGGTCTCGAAGTTCTTGCTGTGGCTATCTCGCATCACTCCTGTCCCAGCTCTGCAATGAGGCTCTCCCAGGCCATCCAGGATAAGGCGGACCCCTCCAGCCCGGGCTGTGCCCTGGGAGCCCGTCACCTGGGTTCTCATTCCTCCCAGTATCTGCCACATGTGGAAATCGTCTTCTTCATTCCATTCCTTGGCTGACAGACTGATCATCCATCTTAGATTTTGCTCAACGAAACACAGAGCTCTTGCCTGAGTTTTTCGAACTTTATTTATTTTTGAGGTGCTGAGGCTTGAACCCAAGGCCTTCCCACTCAGTCCTTTTTTTTATTTTTAATGTAATTTAATTTATTGAGACAGAGTCTAGTTGCTAAATTGCCCGGGCTGGTCTCCAACTCACCGTCCTCCTGCCTCAGCTTCCCAGAGGGCTGAGACCACAGGTGTGCGGCACCACACCTGGCTGAAGCTCTGTTTATTGAATGAATAAATGTCAGAGTACTCAGGTCAACTGTCCCACTGCCTCAAAGCTTTAGCAGGATTCAGTTTAGAGGCTTCTGTTCCTGGAAACTGCACCTCGCTGCCACACCTGGTGCTGCTCACTCTGGGAGCTTTTCCCAGATGAGGACCTGACAGAGAACTGCAGTTTCTCTCTTAACCAAACAACATGAGGCCGGGGCTGAATCTCATTCATCATCTTGATCCCTAGCACATGCCCAGGCCACATGCTCAATGCACGCTTGATGAAAGTGTGAATGGACTGATGAGTTTATGAAAGGAGCTCATTAGCACAGCTGATGATTTGGGTTTTTTTAAAGAATTTTTGTCTTGCTCAGTTTTTAAAAATCAACCTCATATGTAAATATAATAAAGACAATAAACAGTCGCAGATGTCTCTACAGAGTAATAACTATCCTGGAAGTTAAACATGCACGGAAAGTGTCACCATTAAGTATTCTACATTTCCTGCGTGCATATTATCTTACGCTGCCACACACTCAGACCCGTAAGTCTTGCATTGTAGCTACCCTCTGTTATTACTGCCACATTCTCCTTGTTTTTGTTACTTCAGATTGAACTCTAGGCCTTTGTACTGGGATATACCCCAGCCCTTTCCGATTTTTTTATTTTGAGGCAGGGTCTTACTAAATGACTAAATTGCCCAGGCTGTGTTCAAACTTTTGATCTTCCTGCCCTGGCCTCCCAGAATATTGGAATTATAGGTGTGTGCCACCATGCCTGGCTGTTTACCAGTATATTCCAAACATAAAGGTCTCATGGTAGAATCCTCTACCTAAATAAAAAGAGAACTAGGAGGTGTATTTCTTTGATCCAAATTCTCGTTCAGTTATGATCAAATTTGTAACTGCCACAATACAGAACAGAAAGTTACCTCTCAGTCCCCGAATGCTAAGAAATCTTTTCCTTTTCTCATTACAGTACTAGGGAGTCAGTCCAGGGCTTTTACCCTGAGCTACTTCCCTAGCCTTTTTAAATTTTTTTGTTTTGAGACTGGTCTGGCTAAGGCATCAAGTTGTCCAGGATTCAAACTTGCAGTTCTCCTGCCTCAGCCCATCAGTCCCCTTCAAAAGACTTCCCTCACTTCTGAACGCACCTGTCCCAAGCAGTTCTGGAAGTCTACCATTGTGTCATTATGAGGTGTGATGGAGATTACAGCGAACGCTGCTGCACAGCACCACCCTACAGAAAGGCAGATGGGTAAAAATGTTACAGTGCACCCTCGCCCACCTTATTCACCAGATCTGCCACCCTGCGCCCTCTGGCTCTTCTTCAAAGTTAAAGTACCCGTGAAAGGTCAACACTTTGAGTCAATTCAGGACACTGAGGCAGCCAGAACAATACAGCTAAAGACACTCATGAAAGAGGACTTTCAGAGCTGCTTCAGAAAGTGGCAAGCATGAGGGGGATAAATGCATCTGATGCAAGGAGGAGTATTTTGAAGGGGACTGTAACAAAATTGTTTAAACATTCACCATATATTTTGATCGCACTGGGTTTTACTTGTGACCTGCTAGAGATAGTAACTCATTTTGACCTTAAAGAGTTTCCCTAATGATTCTTTTCTGCCTTGGTTTCAGTGCCACAAAGCACACTTCCTATAATTTTTTTTTCCAAAAAAAAATGACTTAATGGTAAAGAATAAGGCTCAAAGGAGCTAAGCCACATTTGTAGTTTCCATTCAATTGAGCATAATTTGAAGATTTTCTCCCCAGAACACAGAAGCAAGCCTTGTCTGTCAAAGCAAGGGCAAGTGATGCTGAGAAGCACAACTTGTGAGTTAATTAAAAAATGACTGCTGGTGCATGGTGTCCTCAGATAACAGTCACTGGTAGCCCGGGGCACTAAAAATCACTCCTGGTGAAGAAAGGAATCATACCTGATTGGCCAAGAGTCCTTCGGGCTCCTGGTCTGTCACAAGCTGATTCTGTGGTAATTTATGAAGAGAAAAATGTGCCCCTCAGCTCTGATTTTTAAACGCCCCTGGGGAGAAGCACATGTGGAGAATTTACTGAGTAGGAAACCCCATATGTTCTTTGTCCAAGCTACTAAAAAAAAAAAAAAAGGCAAGGCAAACAAAATGAAGGATGGGTGGGGGAGGGCTACTCCCGGTATTTCTCAACCAACATTCCAACTTGAAGACTCTAGCAAGACCAAGGAACAGAAGGTAACAAGATAGAGCAATCTTTCTCGCGCCCCAGAGTTTTGAACTTCTTCATGTTCCCTGGAACTGAGTCCACAAGCAGACCGTAGCAATGAGATTTCTGGCAACTATGTCCATGTAGCAAAATAAATAAAAAATGTATTTTTAAAAAGGAGCATCCATTGTAATTGGCGATGTTAACACATGAATTACTTTTACTTGGAAGTCATTTGAGCCCACACTGCAACAACTACTCCTTCTTGATACCATAGCCATGCCTGCCTAAAGCATCTCATGCAGAAAGAAAGATGCAGCTTTGGAAGACCAAAGTGTGTGGAAATAGCTCAGGATGTAGCTTAGTGGTAGAGCGCTTGCCTAGCATGTGTGAGGTCCTAGATTTCATCCCCAACACTGTAAAAAAAAAAGTGTGTGGAAATGCTCAAAATTAATTTTAACACATAAACTAGTTAAATCAAATTAATCAACTCAACTTACTGATTCATTCATTGGGCAGATATTTTACACCACTATATCCAACCAGGTTAGAGGTAAAATAGGAGTAGAAAGGACTTCTAAAAACAGGGTGACTCTTTATATTGAGCACAAAACTGACATTTGGAAGCAGGATGTCTTTGTACTGCAGCTTTTAGCAGAAAAGATTTTTAGCCAGTGGCTTTAAGGTAGGGAATTCTCCTCCCTTTTCTGTTTGTTTGGTTGTCATGGAGTCTGTGTTCATGGGGAAATTCTGAATGTATTTGCTGGGAGATGGAGCTGCCTCTGATTTCTTAGGCCAATGTTCTTGTGAAATAAATATAGCGGAGAGAAGATGGATTTCTGAATGTGAGTTAAGTAATAGCACGTTTAAACAATTACATTCAACCAGAAAAATTTTTATTGGAGACTCAACGCCCTAGCTTAGGCAGCAGGTAGAATGCTTCAGTTCTGTTAAAATAGGCCTTAACACTTGAAAGTCTACCCGAAATCTTATACTTGTAGAAAGCATGCAGAGAATGACTTCCTGACACACCCCACACTGCCAGCCAAGGGAGGGAGAAAAACATGACCAATGGCCTAAGACTTCTCAGACAGAGTCAGGTCTTTAAGAAAAGGAAGTGCACTTGCTGAGGAAGTCTGTAAACTATACACCACTCACCCCAAGCAGAGCCCTAAAAAGCACAGGGTGGGAAGTTGGCCATCCTGGCTCCTTGCTGGAGAAGTTACTTCATCTTTCTGGCTCTCAGTTTCCTCACTTTGTAAGATGGAAGACAGATATCCTCACCCCCCTTAAGTGTGGTGGAGAGGATGATGGGACAGTGAGGGACCAGCATTAGCCCTGCCGTTGCTGTTCCAGAGGAGGGACCTAGTTATTTCTGCTCACCTTCTGCACCTCATCCAGGTGTAGCTGCCACCAGTCCCTGAATGGCTTTGTCCCTTGCGTGAAGGAACCTAAGGCTTTCCTTAGCAGGATCCATTATACTTGGGGTGCTGCTCAGTGTGTGCCCAGGAATGATTCTGGTCCCTTGCTGCTTTATAATCAATCATTGGACAGCATGGTAGAAATTTATAATGATTATCTGTCACAGTAGATTGGTCAGTTAAGGAAAAGATGGTTGATTCAATATATGATATCCTTCTTCCCTCCCTCCCTTCCTTCCTTCCTTCTTTTGTAGTACCAAGGGTTGAATCCAGGAACTTCATACTGAGTTACATCCCCAGCCATTTAAAACATTTTTTATTTAGAGATAAGAGCTCACTAAGCCACTAAGTTGCACAGTCTAGACTCAGACTTGCAATTGTCCTGCATCACCCTCCCAGAGTGTTGGGGTTTCAGGTGTTCCCCGGCCCTGGCATGTTGTTTTATCTACACATCATGCGTGTAGTACTTTTTTGGATGCTGTAGAATATATAAAAAAGTGAAAAATGCTGGAAACTAGACTCCAAAAAAAATGATTATACAATAACAGTAGGATGTAATTAAGACCCTAGAACCAGAAAGAGAAAGAAGAAGATTAATGACAGGGTCACCAATATTTTGTGTTTACTGTAGGGTTTTTTGTTTGTTTGTTTTTCTTTCTTTGTATTGCTGAGTTGGAACCCAGAGCCTCTTGCATGCTAGGCAATCAGTCTACCACTGAGCTACACTCCCTGGCCTTTTTTATGAGATGGGATCTCACTAAGCTGTCTATACTAATCTTGAACTAGTATTTCTTGACTACCTTAGACTTCCTACTGTTTTAATATAACACAGTACCAATTCATCTCACTCATTTTTCTTCTTTTACCATATGAAAATGCTAATGTTGTCAGCACACTTCTACTAAGAATAATAGCTAAATGCATTTGGTGCTCACAGTGTGCCAGGCATCAGACTAGATGCTCTGTGTGCATGACCTCATTAATGCTATCAACAACCCTTTGAGATCAGCTAGCATCATTTCTACGTTAGACATCAGATAACTGAGCCTTGAAAAAGTAAACTCAGGAAACTTCCTACAACCAGGAAGCAGGAATACAGCTGCTGGGCACTCAGACTTGGGACCCAACCTGACTTTGCCCTGTCTCATACTGCACCAAGACAAAGAAGGTGTTTAGAAGGCTGGAAGAGCAAAGTACGTGCCATGTGGTCCAACCATTTTCTCTAAAGTTATGGGGGGAAGTGTTGTTTCCAGGCTGCCTCAATTGGTGAAAGGTGATGAATGGTGGGAGAGAGGCATTTCAAGAAGACCTGCCTGTGCTTTTCCCTGGAAATGCTGAGAATGGTACGGCAATACTGCCACAGCAGCTGGATTATGTTGAAGGCCAGTCAGGAAGAATGATCTGACAAGCGTGCTCCTCAGCTCTACCATGAGCTTGCATCAGAAAGGAGGCCCCAAAGGTTTAATCCAGGCTGTGTAAGGCCAGGATAATATGCAACCAAATGAGGCAATAAAGCAACTTTCCCCTCAACCAACTGATTTCTCAAGCCAGCCTTCAGCATGAACTTTATGCACAAGAAGTAGAGACACAAAAAGCCACCATGGGGGCTGGGGATTTAGCTCAGCGGCAAAGCACCTGCCTGGCAAGCGCAAGGTCGTGAGTTCGGTTCCCGGTACCGGAGGAAAAAAAAAAAAAAAAAAAGCCACCATGCAAGCAGCTACCGTGTGTGCCTGCCTGGTCCCTGCACCGCATCATCCCCAGAGAAGATCTTGCCTATACTGTCCAAGTAGGATGCTCAAAGTTGGATATTTGGGCTCATCCTGCACTCCCTACCAAAGCAACTCGGGGGCCACATTCCTGGAGACTACGAAGAAGGCAGCATGCGTAACTTACTGGCTCCAGAGCCTGCCCCACTCTGTCACCCACCAATCCTGAGATTAAAGGGAACAAAGCAAGTCTGTTCTCTTTTTGCTTTTTTTTACTTCCTTGTCCACTGTATCCCACCACAAAAAGTAAGCCTGCTGTTTCACTTCCAGTGTACTTGATGGGCAGAATGTTAAGGGCACAGCACTGGGGTAGAACCCAAGCCTGGGGCAGAGTCCAGCCAGAGCACACAATGAGGGTCACTCTTGAGATTGGAGCACCACCCATACTGCCTTCCATGTGTTTGGAGGGGATGGTAGCCTCTTATAGCCACCTAATTATCAAATCAATGCAAATGACAATAAATATTCACTCTAAAGATCGATTCTTAACCGTGTCAGGCTTGAGATTTTGAATCTGAGAGACGCCTTTGAGAATACAAAGTGTACACCTGGTTGGTGCTCTGGGGTATGTAGGATCTAGTGGAGAAAGATCAAATCAAATGCCAGAGGTTTGATATGTTCCAAGTGCAAAGTTGAGTAATTGATAAAACTGCAAAGTTTCTGGTCCAGATTTTTAAAATTTGTAACACAAACATGATACATAAAATCTGTTCAAATAATTATTTTCCTTTTGAGACAGGGTCTTGCTATGTAGCCCAGGCTGGCCTGGAAAGCTCAGAGATCTTCCTGCCTCAGCCTCCTAAGTGCTAGGATTACAGGTGTGCACCACCACACCAGGCTTCATAAGTATTTTTAAAAACCAAAAGGCTTGTGAACATACAGGTCCAAAGAGAAAGAGAGACGAGGAGGTCCTGAAGAATGGTATGATGTACAGAGGTGCTTCCCGAAGGATTAGCATGGTGAATGGGGACAGAAGAAGCTCTGGGAGGACTTTGGACCTCCGTAATTTGCAGGGCAAATTACACCATGCACACAGGCAGGCTGTGTTTCCTAGACTTCGAAGTTTTCCTTCCCTTTGATCCGTCACCTCTTTCTGTTTCTTTCATTGTGCTTAATCAAAATAGCCGTGCCGAAGGTGAGGCCGCTGGATCTCCAGGAGTTTAAGGCCAGCTTGTGTTGCAGTGAACGAAAATCAGTTTGGCCTATATAGTAAAACCCTGTGCCCCATCCCTCAACAGCCATGAATGGTCTAGCACTTTATAGCACCAGACACAGTTCTCCAGGCTTTCTGCACTGGCTTCCGTCATTCTTATAATGATGCCAGGTGTGGTGGCACTTGGGAGGCAAAGGCAGGCAGGGGCAGAATTGCAGGAAGTTTGAGAATAGCCTGCTCAAGGCTATACTTTCAGGGATCATTTCTATAGTATGAGAATAGCCTGGGCTACATAGTGAGCTCAAGGCCAGCCTGAACTACATGAAAGAGCCTGTCTCAAAAAAACAAAAAACAAAAGCCGCGGGTGCTGGTGCATGCCTGTAATCCCAGCACTCGGGAGGCTGAGGCAGGAGGATTGTTGCAAGTCCAAGGCCTGTCTGGGCTACAAAGTGAGCTCAAGGCCAGCCTGAAGTGCATAGCGAGACCCTGTCTCAAAAAGACAAAAATCTGACAGCAATATGGCATAAGTATTACCACTCTCCC